CCGCCTATGCCTTTTGTTGCCAAGGCCTAAATTATGATTGTTGTCTTTGTGAACGACTTGTTAATTTTCTTTTACGTCATCAATTGCTAATTTGTGTTATGCAGTACACATAAATGAATGAAGAATTCCGCAATCGAGTTGAAGAGAACACTCGGGCGTAATATTGGTGTATTTGCTGACGGTATTGATGGGTTCATGCCGGAGCCCACTGAGGCATTTACAGATCATGATCATGACATTCTGATGACTCAGAGGTTTGATGATGGACCAGATAATATGGATGGTTCGGATCCAAATCGGAAGATGCCTCCTGAAGTCAAGCGCTACTTGTGAGTTCAAAGCAAAATCCTAATTCCTATTGCGCTTGTTTGAATGAAATTTCGGTTTACATGTGTGAAAATTCGCTGAATTGTGTGGCCGGTAACGGATCATATGCATTTAAATCTTGTTTTGACTATTACCTCATGCCAGAAGTTACACTGGACATGTATGGTAACACTGATACACTTCCTGTTTCGCTTTAAACTTCCTGCTTACTGGTTCGTTATTCATGAATTAGCAAGTGAATGTCGATTTTCTCGTAGATATTAGCTAGCTTGGTTTGTAGTATATGTTTTGAAAATATGGTGACATTTCGTACAGTGGAAGTTCAACAGAGGTTTATCTCAGATTAATATAAACTTGCTTTTACCTCTATTACATGTCATCGGTTGTAGTTTATTTACGAGTTCCATATGCTTCAACTTCCATTGTAGCAAAGCTTTCTATGCAGGTTTGTGTTCATTCTTAATTCACTGGTTTTATTTTTCATATGTATCCTAGTGAAATTTAACATAAGAGCATCTTTACATTTTATTGCCAGCTACAAACCATCTCTTTCTCGGCCTCTTTGGAGTATTATTGATCCAATGGCACTAGGTCTATACTCGTGCTAGTTTCTTCAAATCCACTTTTGTTGATTCGTTAATTCTTTTTTATTCATTAATTCATACAAAATTTTAACTATATATTGCTCCCATCTTTTTAACTCTTAACAGAGTTTATCTGGTGCTTGTAGTGCAGTTTTTGCTAAACTTATCGTTCCTTTACCTACTTTGAAAAACATGTTTAATTCTTAGGTGATACTAGGTGCCGTGTACTAACTTGTGTTATGCCGCAGTTATGAACTTAAAGGAGACGAGGAAGAACAAGCTGCACGTTTGGCTGAGGAGTCCAAACTGGATTACTATCATAGCCCTCGGCTCAATTGGATTACTATGGAGTCCAAACTGATGAACGAAAGATAACTTTAAGCGAGCATAAGACACAACAAGCTGCGTAATCCAAGGTGAATACAAAAGATCGATCTTACTGAGGTTGAATTTAAATTGTCCATGCCCAATGATAAATCTTGTTATCCCATAATGTTCAAAACATACGAACGGTAATAAAAATAAATTTAAAAAAAAAAAAAAAAAAAAAAAAAACCCCCAAATTAGGGTTCTGGGAATATATGTCTAAATCTTCTTCCTTTGTCTATTTGTGAATTACATGTTAAATTCCCTAACCAAAAAATAGTAGGCTTTGTTTCATGGGCCAAGCGGGCCGGGCCACTATGGGTATCCGGAAAATATTATAAATTTTTCACTTTAAATTTTAACAGTTGCGAGGATATAATTAGGCCATATCGCATAGCACAAATAGTCGTTTTTTGTGACAAATGATATTATCTACGCCAAAGGCATGTGCGAGTGGGTTAAGTCTCACACTGGGTTAGCCACAATAATATGATCTAGTAAAAATTCTGGTGGTGCTTGATGAGTCGATTTCATATTATACATTTTACCCTGTTATTAGCATTTGATTGTGTTAATTATAGTTTAAATGTAGGAACCTGCAACTTCCTCTTGAATAAAAGGTGATCAAATGGACGAATTTTGAAGTGATTCTAATTGGAGGGTGTTTGCAAGTCTTTCAACTTGTTTGTATCAAAGTTTTAGACTTTTATGCCAAACGGTTAATTTATGGAGAATAAATAAAGGACTAGCGCGCAAAACTGTCAAAGTAATGTTTCGGGCTTATTTGACCTTTTTGGCGTTCAAGATGGCATTTTCTGGAGATGCGTCCTTATGCAAAGATATTCAGGTGACTCAAGCTTTAAAACAAGATCTTTTGGACCATTTTTGGATCTGGTTTGGCCCATGAACATGGCAGATTTGTGGTTGGGGCGGATTCTCTAACTTTTGGTAGGGGATTTTTAGCTGAATTTGAATCTAACAAACTTCGTTCGGGGAGCCAATTCCTAGTGATGGAGAGAGTACCTCGACGTCTGGGGAAAGGAAAAAGGGAAACCCACGAAATTCAAACTCGAATTTCACCCAAATTCAATGAGATTCTTTTGGAATTTCAATGATTTTGGTTCAAAAATCACGACACCATGTCGGAATTTGCCAGAAAGTTGCATGGCAAGGCCATGGTCTCGTTGCAGGTGAGTTAGGGTTTATGGGTTAGACGCCATAGGTGTCGAGTTTTCCAGTGGAGTCTGATAGCTAGGTGGGTGGTTGAAGAACCATTAATTCAATGCATATTTATTCAGATAATTTAACGCATGGACGTATATTTGATGCAATTCATGGCAATATCAAATTCACATAATTCAACAATTATGAATATAATGCATACACAATTTATGTAGAATCTAAAATTCGAAAAACGTAGAGTTGGGTCATGCATTATGGTGAATGTTCATGTTCATGCTATCATGCTACCAAGAGTGACTGAAATAAAAAGCTAGAAATTGTTCCCAAGTTTTCGACAACAAAATATTGCAAGTTCAATTTCCGATATCGGACTGGGTTTCAAGTTTTAACTTTTAATTATGTCCCTTGGTTGATGAAAAAATTCACTTTAATTGAATTTTTTGTTGTCAAACTTTAATTGAATTTAACCCGAATGTTATGAAAATTTGTGTACAGAAAGATGATCTCTCTACACTCTAGCTAGCATCTATTTTCCATTCCAAGGAGTGCCAAGAAGAACAAGGAGCTGAAGGAAATAGCACATAGAGCTCTCTTCTTCTTTTTTTTTTTTCTTTTTCTTTTAATAGAGCAACTGAAAGTATCTCTGTAGTCGTTATCAGATTCGTAGAGTACTATGCCATGCAACCAGCCTTGAGAATTTGAGGGCGCTAGCCGAGCCTTGAAATGGGACTTTGAGTTGTCTGACTCCTGCCCATTTATTCACTAGCATTTATAAAAAAAATAATAATAATAATGATAAGAATTTGCTAAATACATGAATGGACGCTTTTCCGGAACGTGGAGAATAAAGTGTCTCTTGAATGGTCAAAATAGCGCCATTGGGCAATATTATACGAGTCTTTATGTATCATTCAATGAGGTTGAATGGACCTGAGAGGGTTGTCAAATGTGCATTCTTAGGTATGAATTTAGTAAACTAGATGCGTTCACACAAAACGGTGTGCGTGGTTGAACCAACTAACTTTCCCTTTTTTCTTTCTTTTTCTTTATTCACACAAATTTAATTCATATAGTAGTCGAGGTATCTCGACGGAAAATCGCCCAAAGGCGACAAGGTGGACGAAGAAGACGACATGGACGACAAGTCATTCAGGACCCTTTTGTCTGGGTTAGCGCAAGCTTCGGCTTAGCGGCTCCAATGCGAGCTGCATGCTCAAGCTGGGGATTTGTAGATCAGGCCCAGTCTAGAGTAGACTAGGGCATCTAAGCCCATTATGAGTTCTAGGGTTTCAACATCCTTTTTTTCTTTCTTTTTCTTTTCTTTATTCACACATATTTAATTCACATACTAGCAATATTATAACTATAATGTATATACAATTTATGTAGTATTTAAAATTCGTAAAACATAAAGTTGGGTCATGCATTATTGTGAAGGTTCACAATCAAGGCTGAAAAAATATCGAGATAAACACCGTTGTTTTGGAAGAACCTGGATTGCGTGATGAATATTGTGAACGGGTTCTATCTTCAATTTTGGCTTTCCATTTCCAAAGCTTGTATCATGTTCAACACAAAAATAAAATAAAATTAAATCGAATCAATAAAAGTATATAAATAAATTTAAAAAAATCAAAATTTAATCAATTAAGAATAATTGAAATGTAATACGTCCATGATTGAAGATGAACGATTTCTACGTCAGATTCCTTTGCGCAGCGGAGGAGCATGCTAGTAACGTGCACGTGTTGTGGCTTATTTAATCTAACAAGCCCATTATGAGTTCTAGGTTCTCAATCTTTATTTGAAGATCATCCATACAAAAACTTTATTCGAATGAGGAATCATGTAGTCATCCAAATATATCAATAAATCAACGGTGTAGGTATCAAATATCATATTCATGATAAACTGTTAATTTGTTTTGATACATTTAGATGACTTATGGGTTACTTTGCCTCGGATGTAATTAAGGTTTACTTTGCCGTTTTTGCATCTGTAATTAAGCTTTAATGATATATTAGATAATCGAAGACACATGATTTACAGGCGCTTGTTGCTGCAAACCAAATTGTTGTGAGATTGATGCACATGTATGTAATTTAGCTGTTTTAAAGGAATTAATTTCACAAAAAGTTAAACAAGAAAGAAAAAGGAAGTTCCTGAAGTTAGAACTTTGTAAAACTTTGCCTTAAAAGCTTGCAACAATATGTCAGGCTCCAAACTTTGAATAGGAGTGGATTCCAGCTGCAAATTCAATTGGCTCAATTGCTCATCATACACCCCTTTTTCTTTCTCAACGCCATTATCCATTAGTGAGCCAAATGTGTGTTCGACCACCAAATAATTGTTCATAAATAAACAACCAAAGCCGAATGCCTGTTTTCCTTAAAGCTGAAATTTTTACTCAAGTTGATTTTGCGCAGGCATTCTTCTCCTAATGCTCATTGTTTCATAAAAATATATGATAATACTCAAGAAATGAAATACGACTTGAAGAATAAATGATATTTTCAAGTTAAATTATAGGAGACATAAAAATGAGGAATAACTATGATATCAGATCATATGAGTAAAGTTCATAGATAGCTCCCAACATAACTTTAATCCAAAGCAAATTGGTCCTATAGTAAATCCTTTTTGCATGTGGATTTACTACTTTTATAAACAAAGCTAACTAGTCGGCACCAAGGTCCAAAATCACACATTCATTCTTCATCTTTATTCAATCCTGAGCCGAACTAGTGCAAGTCGAATCATTCTTGGACGAACCATTCTCAACATCCACCTCAATGCCACACTCTTTCCGCAGGCAACCTCGGAAAAGCTTAAACTCCGGGTCATCAGGCCCGCCAAAAAGGCTCAGCTGCCATTAAAAGAGAGGGATGCAACGCTTGTCAATATTTATGTAGAGACAGATGATCTAGCATCTGTTTTCCATTCCAAGGATTGACAAGAACAACACAAGAAGCAGAACAAGATAGCACATAGACCATATATATTTTTTTAAATCGAGCAACTGAAAGTACCTCAACAACCGCCCGAAGCAACCACTGGCATTGCTCATCAGAAATGCCACGACCAATTGCACTTGCACGAAAATTTGAATGATAAAAAACCGTAGAACCTCCGTTTGGATATCTCACCGCAACCTCGTCACAGGCACTAGGACCTAACTCAGAAATATTACATGTTATTAGCTAGTTACAATAATTACGTATTAGATAGCGAGAAAATTATTATTATTCTAGGTATCGAAGCCCCAACAAGAAGCACAAGCAGTGTACAAAACTAAATTACAAGGGCACCGTTTATACTTACTCCTTTTGCCAGATAAAGCAGAGTAAGTGGACAGGGGTACTGCAAATTAAGAAGAAAAAGCATAAATGACTATAAAAAAAGATTGAAAGGCTGTTTCATATCTGATGAAACAAATCATCTCACAGATTGACATATTATTTAAACAATCGAATTCCCAGCGTAATTACTCACCAGTGGAAATGGAACTCGAACGTGAACTCCAACGTGAACCCCAACGTGAACGGGAACTAGAAGAACCAAAACGAGCCATAATTCAGGTTCGAGAATTCCACAAGCTGTCCCAACTAAAAGTTTACAAATTAAAGTTTAGTTCCTGCGAGATAAGACAAAGGCTTACATACTGAAACAAAACGAGAATATAAATGGAAACAGAAAACTATTCCAAACGATTCAATCCCGCCACAAAGACATGACAGAATTAGATGCTAACCCTTAAGGCCTCATTACATCTCGGACTGTACTGACTATTTTTGTCGAATAGGATAAATAGCCATCGGATAGTACTAACTAAATTAGTCGGGCGTTTGGTGCAGTATCGAACCAATGACCGTATTATTTATACTGTGTTTGGTACTAAACTGGATAGGACAAGGAAAAAAAAAAATTTGACAATCTTTATTTGTTTGTTGAACTTTTCTCATACTCATACCTACTGAAACCACACAAATTTTCAAATAACAAAGAAAAATAGTAAATTCCATGCATCAAATTCAAAATATTTTCCAATAACATAAAAGAAGGTTCACAAAAAACGACTACAGTCGTTACGTTATATAGATTAATCCAACCACATATCCAAGTTTCATAAAATATACAAATGCAAGTTGGTTTCAGTAAGAAACAGTTTGTCCAGATAGCCAAAATATATGCATGCTGCTGCTTTGCTTTCAATAAGAAGCAATTTGTCCAAGTACCCAATATATACATGCTGCAGCTTTTAACAAAAGATGTGCATGCTGCTTTTAACAAAATATATTATTGTTGGTTTGAAATGTCAATTGCGGTTACTTTGTCCAAGTAACATGAGTACGAAGTGGAATAAATGCCAACAGCATTTTCTTCTTTTCCAATTGAGAGTATCGGCTACTTTGAATTTTTGTTTGAAACAAAAGTCATCATGACTTTTACTTTCACACGGTGTAAAGTTACACACAAAATAAGCCACAAATTTAATATTTTTCAAACTGAAAAAAACAATGTGCATTTTTTCTTTCTTTTCTTTTTCTTGAAAACTTTGGTGAAATGATAACTAGGCAACTCAGGCGGGCAGAAGAAAACCACACCAGGAGCAACAGAAGAAAGCCTAAAAGTCAAGAGCAACAGAAGAAAACCACACCAGCTGATTAAAACTGCACCAGCAGCAAGAAAAAACAGTAGCAGGAAGGATAAGATCAAGCAGAGAAACACAGTCAAACGAGTCAGGATAACATCTTGGCTAGATGAAACCAGAACAATTCTATTCAACACCCAATCAACAGAGCAATACTTCAACACCCAATCAACAATTCTATTCAGTAAACCACAACTGCTAAACGAAACCAAAACAAAGCAATACTTCAACACCCAATCAACAGAATGCCAGACCAAAAGGAAATCATAACAAAGCAATACTTCAACACCCAATCAAATACGCACAGGAAGCACACTCCCACTCCCACTCTACCCAATCACAAGTCCAGCTATTGAAATATCAAAACATCACTGACAACCCATTTCTCTCAAAGCATCAGAAACTCGATGCCCAATTCACAAAACCCACCAAAATTTGACCCCGGTGAGTGCAAAATCTTAAACATACACAGCAAAAATAAGAACCCATATGAATAAAAATTGGAACTTTATACGCAAAATCGAAGAGGCGTACCGGGCGAGCGCTGCGGTTTTTGGGTAGCCGGAAAAAAGCAGCAGCGTAACGATAAAGACAAGTTGGGGGCGAGTGGCGAGGAGAGAGCGAGTGAGGGGGGAGAGAGAGACAGGGGGAGAGAGAGAGAGAGAGAGAGAGAGAGAGAGAGCGAGCTTCTGTAGTGAAAATTCTAACTCGACCCCAAATTGGACCCTAACAGCAAACCCTAAAATTCGAAAATTATAATTAAAACACAAAATTACATAATCAATTGCATAATCAGAGAGAAAACAATAAAGAGATTCAACCAATTGAAAGAAAATTGCAAGAAAAATAGGAGGGGGGGAGAAGAACAGAGGGAGGGGCGGAACCTGGGAAGAAGAAGAAAAATGAAAAGACGAACTGTGATGCAAACGAAGAAGAAGAATTTGAGAAGACGAACCTGGGATTCAGATGAGAGAGGAGTGCGTAGAGAGAGCGTCTGGAGACCGCCGTCTGGAGAGGAAGGAGAGAGCGAGATAAGCCCGACTAAATTGTTCGGTGCTTTTGGACGGTAGAAGGAAGAGGGTAAAGACCGTATAAAAAAGGTAGGCCCTTATTTAATTCGGTGCTTATTTAATTCAAATAGGCACCAAACACCGTATTTTGTATTATTAGTATTATTCAGTGTTTTATATGATGTGCCAAACAGGGCCTAAATCTCAAAACTGATCGCAAGGACCCGCAATTACAATAGATATCAAACTCGCATCGCATGCTAACAATTTTAGTTAAAAACAATTTGGGGTACTCGGCGTGATCATCAAACAACCGGTGTAGGACTCCAGAAATATTCCAAAACGTGTATGACAAGAAAATCATAGCCCTCGGCTCAATTGGATTACTATGGAGTCCAAACTGATGAACGAAAGATAACTTTAAGCGAGCATAAGACACAACTAGCCGCATAATCTAAAGTGAATACAAAAGATCGATCTTACCGAGGTTGAATTTAAATTGTGCACGCCCAGTAATAAATCTTGTTATCCCATAAAGTATAAAATATACAAACGGTAATAAAATATAGGAAATGTAGAAGAGAGAGAAATTGATGATTAAAATGAATGAAGAAGGAATTACAGAAGATTCGTTGACTTACACATTACTAATTGATGGATATGAACTTACGGGATTAATTGATTGTTCATTTGATGTTCTTAAGCGCATGTTTGATGGTTGTTGTGACCCTTCGCATTATACCTATTCCTTGCTCATCAAACATCTTTCGAATGAAAGGTTTGAATCTGTTTGTTGTTGCGGGTGCATTTTTATTTTCAGTACTTGCGAATGTTTGTAATTTACATTTTTTTTTTTTTGTTTCAATTGTTCATAGGTTATCAATGATAGGTTTGAAGTATTTCACTCTCAATGGACTTCGTTTGGAGATGTTCAAGGAAAAGTAAAGTTTTTCAAGTGACCATTTTCTTGTTAGTAGAGGCCTATGTGGTGCTGCATGTGTAATTTGGTAAATTTTTAGTATAAATCAGTGGTGGTAGTGTTAGTTTTGTACCCCTTTGTAATATATTTGACTATATGAATCTAAATGAAATATGGTATTATATTAAATGTGTAATTATATTGTTTCTTTTATATAATTTTTAATTTTTAATTTTTTTTTTTTTTTGGAAACCTTTTTAAAACAGGTATTGGCCATGGTCAATTAGTAGTCCACAACGGTTGTAGCGCATGGTGTTAAATTCTAATCTACTACGGACATTGTTCGTGGTTGTTATATCATTAACAATTTGTTTTGCCCGTGGTAGAAATTTAAACTTTTTATCACATTCAGAATTCTAACAGGCACAATGTTCGTGATGGATTTCAATATATCATAGGCATTCACCGTAATAGATGTGGGTTTTTCTTCTAGTGATAGCAACTTTTTTGTTGATCTAGGTTGGACATTCTCTTTTAGTTTAAGGAATCAAAGTTGAATTAATTTAAGGGGGCCCATGAGATTTTCCCACCAATCTTTTTGATTCAAAGATGGTCACACTATTAGGAATCGCTCAATTGCTATAAAATTGAATTAATTGAGAGTAGCACTATTCACACATCTACTTTTACTTTTTATATTTTATTTTATTTTTTTAGTTTTTTGTCGTTTGATCAAATGAATAAAAGAAAATCAATAGACAATCATTAACAAAGGTGTGTGAGAGATAAAAAGATATGTGTGGATTGCACCAAATTCAACGAAAAGGTTAATTTCAAGCGAACATTTTCTTTTACTAAACTTGTTAATCTAAGTGAGTCATTAGAGACAACTAATGCACTCCCAAGAAAGATGCTCTATTTTGAATTATTTTGGGCCTATTGTTGAAAAGGCGAAGCAAATCTTACCCACCTTTACTGTAATCGAGCCTAATACTAATCACACACTAAAAAAATAAATAAATAAATAAAAGAGTTTAAACGCGAAGCATAATAAATTGAAGAACAAAAGTACATAAGCTCAGAACAGTCTATATCTACAATTGCATCTCCAAGCGACTTAAAGCACTAAAGCCAAAAAGGCCATGTCTTATCGATCGTTTTTCTGCATAGAAAATCAAGGGGACTACTAGTCATCAGATCCATCACCGTCGTCATCGGTGGTGGTGGAGTTGTCGCCGCTCAGAGAAAGATCAAAAAGTATCTTCTGGATTCTTTGCTTTGTGACCATCTCAGAGGATCCTGCTTCCCTGCTCTTTGTGTAGGCCTTAAAGAACTCTCTGTTCTCCTTCTCTAACTCCTTCCACACTGCAGTTAATCAGTTAGTCCTTTAATTAGCTAACCATTCAATCCCATGCAAAGAGCATATACTATATACATACACTCACAGGCACACGCACATATATGTAGAGAGAGAGAGAGAGAGAGAGAGAGAGAGAGACCTGTGGAGGTAATTATGGGTTTTATGTTTGCATGCTTAGAGAGGACTTCCATGCACTCCTCTTTGCTCATGTTGAATATGATGCACTCCTCGATTAAATGGTGCACCTATTTATAATTATGCATGTCACCACCATTATTTTTTATCACCACAAAATATCAAAAAATAAAACAAGACCACTCCAAAAAAGTCATCAAGTGCTCTTGGTTTACGACAAACTTGAGAAAAAAAAAAAAAACTAAATTTCGCGAATAGCCTTGTGAAGTTTTTTATGTATCGATCCTATGTATCGAATAAAAGATACACATCATCTTGGTGATCAAGAAAAAGCAGAAGAATTTTCATAAAAATTATAACAAGGCTTACCAAGTGGATGTACGAAGCAGAAGAGTCTCTCATGTTTATATATTCTGATATATTTTAACTGATGTATATAAAGTTCTTGCTACCCTAGCTGCAGAAGACTTGTAGAACAACGAAGAATCTGAAAGGAGAATTCAAAAGAAGAAGGGGGCCGGAGAGTGAGAGATTTCGAGAAGCAAGAAGCAGCTGCTGGATGATCATAAAAAGTGAACACTGATAGATTAAAGTTAAAGAAAATTCATGAAGATGGATCTTATAAATAAACAAATAGAAAGTGCATGTCAGTTCTTGGGTGATGTCATAGGCGTTGGGTGTGGGGATCGAATTTACTACTTTTTCACGACTGTGCGACCATTTTTTCCATGATGCGCCAAACTACACAAATATTATGTCATCTACGTGGGATGGTTGCTAGTTTCTGTATGTAGCATAGCAACTTTTTTGTTGATCTAGGTTGGACATTCTATTTTAGTTTAAGGAATCAAAGTTGAAATAATTTAAGGGGGCCCATTAGAATCTCCCACCAACCTTTTTGATTCAAAGATAGTCACACTATTAAGAATGAGCAATGCTGCAAACTACTCAGCTCAGTTGCTATAAAGTTGAATTAATTGAGAGTAGATTCACACACCTATTTTCATTTTTTATATTTTTTTCGCTTTTTAGCTAAAATGGTCTCTGAGATTTGCATAACACATCACTTTGGTTCCTGAGATTGAAAATTAATAGAAATGGTCCATGAGATTGTCCACCATCCATTATTTTGATTATTTCATTAAAAACTCCGTGAAGTGTCCCGGAGCTCTTGGCCGGATATTTGGGCAATTTTTAAAGCTTTATAACTCAATCGTTTTTAACCAAATTTGACCCATAATATATCAAAATGAAGATAGGAAAGTGTAGAACAAGATTATACCTATTTGGAAGCTCAATGATTGCCGGAGATAGCCGTAAAATAATCTGAAAAGTGACCGGTCCGCGGGAAAACTGGAAAACTCGTCGGAAACTGGGTAAATTTTAAATGTTCATAACTTCTTCAATACTCAATGAAATCGAGTGATTCAAAAACGAAAATCATACTTATCAATGAGACAAGGAGAATGGTACCTTCGCAATGGCTAACTCGCCATAGTTTGGCAAAAAAAGGGCTCGAAAGTGGCCAACTCGAGACCAAGACAACCACTTTCGAGTTGTTTTCTGGCCAAACTATCGTGAGTTAACCATTGAAAAATGTACCATTCCCTTTGTCTCGTCGAGAAGTATGATTTTTGTTTTTGAATCACTTGACTTCATTGAGTATTAAATAAGTTATGAACATTTAAAATTTACCTAGTTTCCGGCGAGTTTTCCAATTTTCCCACGGACCAGTTACCTTTCAGGCTATTTTCTGTCATTCTCTGGCAACCATTGAGCTTCCAAATGGTATAATCTTATTCTACACTTTCCTATCTTCAATTTGATAGATTTTGAGTCGAATTTGGTTAAGAAATGATTGAGTTACGAAACTTTGAAAATTGCCCAAACTTACGGCTAAGAGCTCCGGGACACTTAATGGAGTTTTTAACGGAATGACCAAAATGATGGATGATGGACAATCTCAGGGACCATTTCTATTGATTTTCAATATCAGAGACCAAAGTGATGTGTTATGCAAATCTCAGGGATCATTTTGGCTAAAAAGCCTTTTTTTTTTTTTTTTTTTTTTTAAGTTTTTTGTCGTTTGGTCGAATGAATAGCAGAAAATCAATAGATAACCATTAACAAGGGTGTGTGGGAGGTAAAAAGTGATGTGTGGATTGCACCACCCTTAATTGAATGGGAGTCAATTTACCCTTATGCCCCTTCGTTGCTTTAAATTTATCCTCTTGTTTTGCCCTTCCTTCTTTTTTAGGAGAATAACTTACATGAAATGGACTCACAATCATGTGACGTCCCTTGTCTAACGGTGTATTGTCATGTGTAAGTTTTTTTTTCACATAACAATGTATGGTCGGAACGCCATATGAGTCTATGACAGTGAATCTGTTCTATGTAAATAACTCACCTTTTGCGGATTCATAATTGAGAAACATAGAGCAACTAAAGGGAAACAATACTCCTAGTCCTGGATGTGAAGAGCGGTGAAAGAAAAAGGTTTTTTCTTTTTTATTGAATGAAACCTATATAAAGGGCTAATATATTACGACAACAAAGACAATCTAATAAAAATTAACAAGTCGTTGACAAGGACAGTAATCATAATTTAGGCCTTGGCAACAAAAGGCATAGGCGGAACTTACACTGAACAAGTCCTCAATGTCAATCTCGATAGCTCGAAATTTGCGGTTTGCAACTTCCTGCTGGAAAGGTAAATAACATTTAGATATTGCTGCAGTATAATTATACAAAATCAGAAAATGAATCCGGCATTCAATCTAACGGGAAATTAGGGTTTTCAGACCGCATTATCATTGCTTATTATAAAATGTGGTAAAGAAGAAGATGAGGAGGGAACTCACAAGGATGCGCATGTATTTGGCTCGCCATTCGTATTGACAAAGTTGGAAAGGAAATCCTTCGCAAGCTCTGTCAAAAACAAAAACCAAAATAACAAAACGAGATCGAGTATTGACCGACAAGAGAGAGAGAGAGAGAGAGATGGGCAGTCGTCACACACAGAGAGACTTGAAATGAATGAGAGCTCAGATTTGGCGGCAAATGGGGATGTGGGTGAGGGTTTTTAACGGTTCAAGTATTTTATCCATTGAAAAACGAGTTTGGTTGAGAAATTAGATTATACAAACTTAACTATTACATTTTCGTTTATTAATGTGAGATGTGTAATTTTTAAGTAGATTAGTGTTAGGAAGACTAAATTTTTTAAACTAGAGTATATGGATTATTAATTAAGTGTCTTAGCGTGCTTGTGTTTTTATTAGTGACACCTCTTTTGATTTGCAAATTTATTTTAAAATTTTAGTCTCCCTAATCTTATCCATGTAAGTAATGTTTGTATGTCTTCCTTCTTTTGATATTAATTTTGGGATAGGATCAAGGGACAAACATTTTTACAAATATTGTCACTCTTTATAAGCCTTTAGATTACATGACATCCTAGGGTTCTAATTTATTCATTAAATGATATGGATGCGTGGATTTTAACTAATATTAAAAACAAAATAATACACGGAAGTTCTCAACGGTGAAATGAATGAGAGCTCAGACTTGAAATGAATGAGAGCTCAGATTTGAAACGAATGAGAGCTCAGACTTGAAACGAATGAGAGCTCTGATTTGAAATGAAAGAACTCAGACTTGAATGAATGAGAGCTCAGACTTGAAATGAATGAGAGCTCAGATTTGGCGGAAAATTAATGGGGATGTGGGTGAGGGTTTTTAACGGTTCAAGTATTTTATCCATTGAAAAACGAGTTTGGCTGAAAAATTAGATTATACAGATTTAACTATTACATTTGCGTCTATTAATGTGAGACGTGTAATTTTTAAGTAGATTAGTACTAGGAAGATTAAATTTTCTAAACTAGATTATGTGGTTGTAAATTATTTGGATTATTAATTAAGTGTCTTAGCATGCTTGTTTTTTATCAGTGACACTTCTTTTGTTTCTTATTTGGATTATTACGCCCGAGTGTTCTCTTCAACTTGATTGCGGAATTCTTCATTCATTTCTGTGTACTGCTGTTGACTCTAAAAATTACAAAACCTACGTGGCGCGCAGGCCGAGTAACTAATAAGCTAACTACGTCATTCGGTTGAATGCGGGGCGTGCCAACTCGTCAGCCGAGCTCGGTCGAGAAGTAAAATTCGTTGATGTCGCGTTGAGCGCGTTGTTGACTTCTTTATCTTGTGATTGCGACCGAGGAAGGAACACTCTCGGTCTCTGGGTTCTATAGCCGGAAGACAAGGCTACTAATTCTGCGAAGTTCACAAATCGTCGGAGCCCAATTCGGTCACTGTGATTATATTCGTAAGAGTATAAGCACATCGAATCGAGACCAAACTATATGGATACAGGTACTCAAATGTGATGTATGTCTTGATGGTAAATGTGGTTCGGCCGTCGGAATGCCGAACTCTGAAACTTACTTGCGAGTATCCAATCATAAAATCACTCGGCGTCCAGTACGCCGAGTAATGCAATTCGTAACACCTGACTACGCCGAGAAGGCTAGTAAGGTGACCTCTACAACAAGGGTTCGAAAACCTTTCTCGGTCGAGACTTAGATAGGTAACCGGTCGGCCTTGACGTAGTGCTGTTTATCCAAACTGAAGGTGCTTCTCGGTCGGCTAATTCTGCGGCAGCAGTGCTGTTTATCCAAACTGAAGGTGCTCGCCGGGTGCCTCCACAGTGCTGTTTATCCAAACTGAAGATGTGTCGGCAGAAAAAGAAAAGGAAAAAATCTCAAGGTATTTGAGAGGTTTTGCGCAGGGCAATTGTATGCTGAATTGAAGGTCATTTTTTGTTGCATGATTTCTTGTATTTATAACACCTCATTCCTTGAAATCGAATTGCATCCTTATCTGGATTGGGAGTCCTTGTCCCGTTTCAACTCTACCTCGAATAAACCTACTCCCACTAAGACTTTGAATTTCCCCTTTTTCGAGGCTTTATTCTCTGCCGGCCGGGAATCCTGGTCGCACCAGGACTTTCTTGACCCTTTCTGTTTATCTGGGCTACGTCTTAGGATAGGACTCGACCGACCCTGCCAACTGGCCCGGGATTTATCACTCAACCCATATCATTTGACATAGCCTTGGGCCGAGCACAACCTGCTGCTCGGCCCAACAATATTATTTTGGGCCCAAACATTGCCCCCTCGCTTCTGAGGTCACCGACTGCCAACCTTTGGTCGGGCCTCGACCTTGAAGAAGCGGAAACGCTTATTGCTTTTTCGGACTTTATTTTCCTTGATGACCATTACTTATGCACATTTATGAGACATGATTGCACTCTCCTCGTTACCCCCGACGTACAGCCACGTGTCGATTCTCCGCCGATCTTAAAAGCTTTCAATCATGGCCCTCGAAATCGTGCACCCACCGAAGCGTCTCTTCCTCATTAATGCATTAAAACTGCCGCAGCACGCAATCGTGCGTCCTAGATCTTCGAAACCTTTATCCTATCCTCGCAGGTTCCCAAAATATCCGAAATGATTGGGACCTTTTCCCGGTTAAATTTCCCCCCAATTTGAACCAGTGCTTTTCAAATACCAAACGTTTGATCTTCATTCTGAAAAGCCTAT